TGTCCTTGTGAGGTGTCCTGTTATTGAAAACAACTGGAATCTATTAGTTTTTACTACAGAAAATGTGTATTCCTGTAGAAATATTACATTTCTGTAGTTCCCAATTTTAAATAGTTGCTATCTCAGATATTTTTATTTTGCTTATGTTTGTTTGCTCATGACAGATTACCCTAATAATCAACTGACTTTTTTTATACCAAGAACTATGAGTAATTACTCTTCTAATCCATTCCATTTGATTCACGATGCATTATTTTTTTATATAATTTATTTTGAAAATATTTTTATGCTGTTAAGCTGTTTACAAAATACTTTGGCAGCTTCTTGCTTTTCAAATCAGTTCTTTAAAATTAAGGTCTTCTGTCTATCAGACTATAAATAGAAGAGGATTACTTTGTTGGTGTTTATTTGTTGTCACTTTCTAGTGTCATGTCTGCTCTCTGCTCGCAAGTTGCCAGTGCAAAATTGTTCTTGTCATATCCATTATTGCATTGCCTGATGCTCTTGTTCTTAAAATTAGCTTTGCAGCATCACACTGTTTTCTGTGAAGCAGGGTGTTTAAAAAAAAAAAAAAAAAAAAAGGTATTTAAGCTCAAATAATTTATGTTCTGCATTGTGTAGGAGTCAGGTAAATCCCAACCTACATGACAGTTTTTTTTCCATTTCAGCCATGACGGCGTTATGTCGCTGGTTTGACTCATCCAGGCAGGCTAAATGGTCTCTCCTCTTACTCTGTTCCTTTCTTTTAGGTCAGGGGTGTCAAACTTGGTTACACAAAAGGGTTTGAAATATAAACTTGGTCCAAGCCAAGAGGCAATCTTAATGAATATTTATTGAAAAATAATAGAAATTCAACTTTGCTTTTAAAGTTAATATGTTGAATTATTAAATTAGAAATAGCAATGACCGTTACCAATGGCATTTTATGTAGCGTTTATAGATCATACATCACTTAATGAATAAAAATAGAAACATTAAATCTTAAGACACATTTGCATTAATTTATCATGCCTATTTAATATGTTGTTTATTTCTAATACATTTTATTAAAATACATTAAAAAAAAAAAACCACCAACAACCCAAATATTTCACTGACATAAAAACCGAATACATAAAAGATGATTAAAGCATTGACAAACATCAAGTCATATAACAAGCATCTATTCTTGGCTGCATCTGCAAAAGTTCGATTGGTTTAATTTGATGTTCTCTGTTGCCCCCTCCATGTATAAATCAGAGTACTGAAAAGTTTCAGCTTGTATTTGTTTGGTTTCAAAGTTGGCTAAATCTGCACTGAGTACGCTCAGCTTTTAAGCAAAATGTGAAGCAGTAGAGACTCAATATGTTGCCGAAGTGTTGGCCAGATGTAATACATGAAAAAATTATTTTGCGAGCCAGATAAAATCCTTATAGGGGCCATTTTTGACCCAGGGGCCTTCAGTTTGACAGGTTTATGGTAGTCTCCTTCAATAAAAACAATATAATAAAAACACTCAAACATAAACTTAATCAACAATTAAATCTTCCTCTTAGCCTAATGTTTGAGTCATTATGTGAATACTTTTGCCTGCTAAACACCAGCTTTTAAACATTCTAAATCCATGAAATATGAAACGTTCCAAATATTGTATGAAGAGGGAGCTCCAGCTTTATTGCCTCACAGCTAATGCACATGCTCAGTGTTGACTGTATCCACTGCTTCAGTAGTGAGAGTGTTTAATTTGATTGTGGCGTTAATGAATCAAATTTTATTTGATGTTTTATGTGTTTGAAAAGGTGCAATAGTCTGTGTGGTTGTATGTTATTGCTCAGCTATTTCTTGTGTAATTGTGTTTACCAAGTTAGCAAAGTGGAACAATCCACTGATGCTACAGAACCCAAAGTGCTTCTATAATTTGCTCCCTGGCTGCTTTTGCTGTCTCATCTGTAGCGTTAGTTCTTGCAAAGCAAAATATTTTAAAACAGTGATTTTTTTTTTCTTCTAATAAGTAATTTGCATTTCCTTTTAAACACCATTATGGTTGTTTTTTTTAACACAAGCATTTTACCTAAATTTTTACACGCATGCGGAGAGGGAAAGGAAAAAGTCAGGCCCTAATGACAGAAAATAAACTGCATGTTAGAATATCAGTGCCTCTTTATGTCTGTGTGTGTCTGATGTATAAATCCTCAGAACCAGAGCAAGCTTTAATTAATGGAGTTTGATGATTAGCAGGCAAAGGCAAACAGCAGTTAAACGAGCTTGCCCCCCTCCCCTCCATCAGTGAGGATAATTGCATTTCTGCAACAAATTTGTGGCAGGCACGCTGCTGCCTTTGGAAGGGCATCTCTGATGAGGATGATTTTTCTCCTTTTCAGGGCATTAATGTTTTGCTATTACCAAACTCATATTTCTCAAGAGAATCTATTTAAAGTTTCCTCTTTTGGTTTTAGTACAGCTAATTATTTAGTTTAGTTTTTTTTCTGTCAGATGTCTGAATTAATTCAACCTTTATTTAGACAGGTGAATACCATTGAGCCTTGAGGACTCCTTTACAAGAGAGACCTGAATGTTTTGTTCTTATGATAATATTGATATGAAGGAAGACCAGGCCCCTGTTTTTAATACATTTCTCTCACTTGATTTCATTTTTTTCATCTTACAACTTCACTTTTTTTGTATTTAAAACTTTTGAAGAAAAAAAAAGTTCTTGGAATTTTAATGGGGTGCTATATATGTTTATCCCCCCACAGGCTAAATGAGAGGTGGGCGCTCCATTGCTCTTACACGTCAGTGTAAAATTAATGTGGCTCCCTTTCATTTTTAGACAAACCTTGTAGGCTCACTGGCCTGTCATCTGTCTTCATGTAGTAGCAATTTGCGTTAGCTCCTCTGTTTTTAAACTTCTTTTTCTGTTAAATAATATTTGGACAAGATTGAAATGATTTATTTTTAAATAATCATTTTGTCCTATAGAAAATAACTTGAGTAATGTCAGGTATAGGCCTTTCGCAATCAACAATAAATCAATTGATCACATGATAAATGAAAATTATCGACCTCATTTTCATTTATTGGCTTCATCGTTTCTTCTCTTCTTTTCTTCTCTCTTTGCTAAAAGCAGCTAAGCTGAGAAGCTAAGCTACGAGTTAAGCTAACAGGCCGACCTGGGGAAAGAAACCTCTGTCTTGTCGAAGCTCCAAAATTCACGGTTGAAATTCGTGCCTTCATGTAAAAAGTTGTTTTTCTCTGCAAAAAGTAGCTGAGAACTTGTTTACTGATTTTTTTTATTTTTATTAAAAGCTTTGTGTGAAAAATGCTATGCTAAAGAGCTCAAACCACACTGAGTGTCCGCCATTTTGAGAACCGAAAACAAGGAAGGAGAGACAGCCCATGTCACGTCAAGGGGACTCCCTCCCATTTTTCTTAGAGACACACTGCTCGCTCCCTCACTATCCATCCTTCGGTTCAGTCTTATACTGCCATCCGGTGATCAAAAAAAGGTAAAACACTCAATATGAATTAATCAACATTTCTACAATATTATCGTTTATCGCAATAATTTTTGTGAAAATTAATCGCCAAGCAAAATTTGTTATTGTGACAGGCCTAGTCACGTAATAGTTTGTCAATACTTTATAGGTTGATATTTTTACTAAACTTTTCGCTTTTCAACAGGGAATTTCCTATGTTGCCCTTGATTGGTTATTCCTGTAGAAGTTTTCGAATGTTGTTTCATACGCTGACCTGAGCTCATATTCCACCCTGTTGTCTTTGTCAGCTGATGATGGCTCTTTGCACACATCTGAGCACGTATCACCTGTCCCTGCATCAGATTATAGTCCTCTCATCATCAGCTCCAGACCTCTTATCATGTGTTGAGAGGCTGCCTGCTCTGTTTTTCTTCTCTGTTTGCCTAGTGAGAAAAACAGAAAAGAATAGCAATTTTGTTGGGAGGTTTCACACCACCATACTTTGTGATTGCTTGAATGTGAACCTGAGATGAGTTCTGTGGCTGGATAATGTTAACATAGTACCACCAATCACGTGCATGAACATTCAGTGAACTTATGGAAAAAAAATAATTCAAAAGAAACAGGGATGGCTATGTTAGAGTTTGGGAAGACGCACCAAAAATAGTGGTGTGACAATGATATAGGAAATTGTATTTTGTCGAGTCTTTTGCATCATCTAGCAAATGCTTATGTGGAGTGCTGGTGTTTTTCTTATACTATGGGCAGTTTCTGTTGGCAATTGGACAAACCAACCCCAAAAAAATCCCTCTTCATTAGTATGTGTTTACTATGGTTGTGTATGTTATACTGAAACTGTGCAAATGACCCTCTATACTGTATGTACAGGGAAGCCTATTTTTTGCAACTACCAGCATTTCCTCCCTAATTGTTCCTCTCTGGCTCATAAAACTTCAATTTTCATTGTGGGAATATGTGTGTGTGGGTATTTTATAGAGCGAAATATGGCTCTTTTCACTCTGCTAGCAGTGTCAGCAGGTAAGCTGCCCTGTTGGGAGAGAAGAGAGAAATCGCCAAAGCATGCAGATTGCTACTCCAAGGGGAGAATCAATTAGGGGCATGAAGGCTAGAGCAGAAAGGCAAAGAGAGATGGAGAGGGGCAGGAGTCCATGCAGAGAGGTGGTGCAGAGCCATGCTGATCACCTCCTTTGAGACAATGCATTACTCCTCCTCCTCTGTCCTATTTCTCAACACCTGATGTCACAGCTTTTTTAAGTGCCACTGTGCCTCAGCCTCATTTTTTTCTTTTTTTTATGTCCATCCCATTTCTTCTTCAATTATAGATGTCTCTACGGTCTCAAGTGGGTGGCCTCTTCACCTATGTAACACATTAATTTTCTCTGTTCCTATCTGTGCCAGAAAAAAATAGAGCAACAATCCCATATTTGTTTTAATCCATTGTGTGTCCATCTTCTGAAACTAATTTGTTGGGATATCAGAAATTATGTTGCTTGTTTTTAATGTTTGTTTTCCTTCTCTTCTTAGGTACACAATGTCCTCCATCTCAAGAAAAGCCTGATCCCAACAGGCCAACAGCACTGGACTGTGCCTCTGTCCCTCTGTCCCTCTCCTCACCTGGCCAACCATCAGCACAGCCATGACATCCCTCACGACGATATGGACCTATTTTTCTGTATGCTGCTTCCTGTTTAGTTTGGTGCTTCCTGTGACATCACAAACAGTGGTGCAAGCCGCACAGACTCATAGTGCTGGTTCCCAAGTGATCACAGCATTGCTCCAAGAGGAGGGGTATGCATCATTTCATGCTGAGAAATCTGAGTGGACATTTAACCACCTTGCTGTGGACTATCGCAATGGCAATGTTTATTTGGGAGCTGTCAATCGCATATACAAACTGTCTCCAAGCTTGGAAGTCCAAGTGTCCCATGAGACTGGTCCAGATGAAGACAACCGCAAGTGCTACCCACCTCGTATTGTACAGCCCTGCAGTGAGCCACTGACACTCACTAACAATGTCAACAAAATGCTTTTGATGGACTATAGGGAGAATCGGCTGTTGGCTTGTGGCAGCCTCTACCAGGGCATCTGCAAACTCCTTCGCCTGGATGACCTCTTCAAACTAGGAGAGCCCTTCCACAAGAAAGAGCACTATCTCTCTGGTGTAAATGAGAGTGGTTCTGTTTTTGGTGTAATTGTTTCTTATGGTAATGCCTCTCCTGACATGCTGTTTGTAGCCACAGCCGTCGATGGCAAACCAGAGTACTTCCCTACTATCTCGAGCCGAAAGTTGGCCAGAAACTCAGAAGAGGATGGCATGTTTGCCTATGTCTTCCATGACGAGTTTGTGGCCTCTATGATTAAAATCCCCTCAGATACCTTCACAGTCATCCCTGACTTTGACATATACTACATTTATGGCTTTGCCAGTGGGAACTTTGTCTACTTTTTGACCTTACAGCCTGAAATGGGAGGTGGACCAACAACTGGATCCTCTTCTGCTGGTCGAGAACAGGTTTACACTTCAAAGATTGTTCGCCTGTGCAAGGCAGACACCGCATTCAACTCCTATGTTGAGGTCCCTATTGGGTGCATTAGTGGAAATGTGGAGTACCGATTACTCGAAGCAGCCTACCTGTCAAAAGCTGGTGCTATCTTAGCGCCATCACTGGACGTAGCACCGGATGATGATGTGCTGTTTGCTGTCTTCTCAAAAGGTCAGAAAAGACGTCCACGGCAGGCCTCTCAGGACTCTGCCCTGTGTGTTTTCTCTCTTCGAAAGATCAATGAGAAAATCAAGGAGCGACTGCAGTCCTGCTACAAGGGAGAAGGCACGCTGGACCTGGCCTGGCTGAAAGTCAAAGATATTCCCTGCAGCAGTGCGGTGAGTAGTGCTCAACAGTGGTGTGAATTTTGCTGGTTGTGCCAGTTTAATGACAGCATCAGGGAAGTGTTAAAACTATTCAGATGTTTAAAATACAGAATGTGTTAGATTTATCCCCTTAAGCATGTTCTGTTAACTTTCCACCGCCTCTTTCAATGTGCTCACCCTTAAAACAATGCAGCTGGATGCTCAGCCAAATTACCATAATTCTTTTCTCCATAACAGCCTTACAAATTCAGCGATTCAGTTCATTTGATTTCTTACTTTGTGCGCATAAAAACAAGGTTAAATTAGGTGTTGCATGTACCTACCCAGGTAACATAAGCTTTTCTTTTTTTTATCATTTATTTCAGATCAGTAAAGTAAACTGTGATGTTGAAGACATGAAAATGGCTTCTGTCAGAATTAATATCTTTGACAACCACTTCTAACGCATGGTAAAAATGGCGATAATATGCCAAAAAATGACTAAGGAATTACAGAAATACATGGTTTAAATTGTTAGTTTTGACCAATTATCCTCAACAAATTCTTCATATGATATTTTTAAAGCTACAGATACCTTTGACAATGAAGGGTGACTTCGTCACGACTATATTTCTTGAACATACTATAAATTTCATCCTCCAGCAGCCCACACTACATTATCCTGACCTTTGTTACGCACTACCTAGAGACTTTATGAAAATGACCCCACTTGTCTTTAGTTCTGAAACAACTGTGTTAATCTATTAATCTGTCTGTGGCCCTCACACGTGCCAGGGCGCCGTTGTCTGCTGCTTGAGGGCCTGATAAATCATGCCTGGGGTGAAGCTGTCGGCAGGAAAAGGAAGTGTGAGGGAGCTCAACAGGGTTGGCGCCTAGGAATGATGCTATTTTAGCATGAGCTAATGCCAGTGCATAAATTAGAACCTGCTGAACAAGTGACACTGTGCTCTGTGGGAGATAGAAGAACGAGTTCTGACATACACAAACATACATACACAGATGTTCGTCTTCTTCTTTAGCATGGCTGCTGCTGAAGTGGACATTATGGGACTTAAAGGAGAAAGAGTTCCCCTAGTGTTAATTGCTGAAAAGTCATCTGGTATATATTGTACATTAGTTTATTTGTTTTAACCATAAATATTTATAATTGATTACAAATGGTGAACCAGATTTTGAGCTTGGATTTTCAGCACATTATTAAACGATTAATGAAACTATAGATTATATAATGTACATTTTCCTCTTACTGTTTGCACAATACACAATCTCCTCTTTTTCAACTGACTGTGAGAGCAGTCAACACTTTTATATTTGTTTAAGATCAATCATTTGTAAATATCCCATGGGTAATTTTTATACTTATCATTTACAAAGTCTTTTCACAGTGCATACCCTCTGTACATTTGTACTGTCGTAAGCTTTTCTAACATGATTACTTTGGGAGTTGTGGAAGTTACATATGCTTCATTTTGAGATCCTGCATTTTGAAGACATTCTAACTGGATTCGGTTCAATTCAGTTTATTTATATAGCACCAAATCACAACAAAGTTGTCTCAGGGCACTTTACAGAATCATTCACATACATAAAAAACCAATTGGTAAATAAGGAATCCAGCAGACAAGTTGAATCTTGGCTTTGTTGCAGTCTCCCATCCTGAGCAAGCACAATGGCAACAGTGGAAAGGAAAAACTCCCTTTTAACAGGAAGAAACCTCCAGCAGAACCAGGCTCAGGACAAGCGGCCATCTGCTTTCACCGGCTGGTTTGAGAGGACAGGAAGGAGAGACAAACGAACACAGAATGGTAGGTCCAGATATAGGTCCAGGTGTACTTGATAGACTAATAAAACACATGTTAAGGATAGAAAAAATAATTAAAAATACAAAACTGGTTAATTGAGTAATCTTGTAAAAGCTAACATTCACACTCAGAAATGCTCAAATACACATTGCATTTTTTTTCTGAAGGTCTAATTTGTGCTCAGTTGAATTTCTAATATGCAGTTGTTGATCAATTTATACAAGAAGCTTTTGGAATATTCAGTTAAATTATACAGTATGACACATTGAACATGAGCTTGAGTTCAAAATTGTTTTTTGAGCTGGAAGCTGATCTGCGTCAGCAGCTCATTTGCTTTACTTAACATACTGCATTAGACATTTTTCAGATGCGTTTTATGGCTTGCAGATTTAGACAAGTGTCTTTTTCTACTATAAATTGCAGTCGCAGTTTGAAAAGCGACTTAAAAGAAACCTTTCTAGCTCTTTTGCCCTTTCCAGAACATTTCATAGCACCCATGGTGACCAAAATAAAAATTTCAGTCTTCTTTATAGAGTTATAAAACTGGAAATAAAAGACAAATTATTTTGTAACGGTTGGTCTGCATGTCAAAGTAGTGGCTGTTTTTTTTTTTAAAGGGAGCCAAGATGAGAGGGAATCTTGTATCAGGGAGCTGTCCCTTTATCTTGCCTTTTTCATTGCTCAATATCTCCTTTCCTGTTCCATGTTTCCAGTTTCTCACTTTCTCTCACATTTTTTTTCTTCAGGCTTTCAAACGGCATCATATTTTGAACATGATGTGTTTTTCCTCCAATTAGGGAGAGGACGAGCAGCCCCAAAGCTCATTAGACTAGTGTGGCTGTATAGCCACACAGAGAGACACAATTTTTTGATATGGATGAAACACATTCAGGCTTTGTGAATAGACCAAACCACTTTCCCTGTGAGATTGGATGCATGACAGGAAGAACCACATTATTCTTTACTAAACTTTGAGCAACTGCAAAGCATGAAATGATATAGAATGTTTGCATCTGACCAATAAGCCCAACAGCCATTGATTGCCAAACTCTTCATAGACATATATGTACTCTATACATGTAGAAACATTTAATCTAAAAGAGGCTCTGCATTTAAAGTTCAGCCGTTTCGGTCGATAAAATGTGCCAAGCAAAGATCCCAAAATAACCAACGTGGAAGTATTTTAAACTATAACCAGCTTGTTGACAGAAAATAGTTTGGTTTCTTAATGAAAGTGTTAAAAAGTACCACACAGTATAATTTATTTAGTTTATCTAGAGTCTGCCTGTGCAGCAAAATTTATTTAGTATTGAGTTTTTTTAAGACGCCTACAATTTAAATACTCTGCTTCCTAAGCTTTAGTAAAAAATGGGCAAAACATGCAACTAAAATTTTCTAAAAACAACTTAAAATGGATTTTGATATTCAATTTAATTATTGACCCAGACTTTAGCATCCAGCTGTATTAAATAATGTATTTAAATAATTAAAAAATCTGAGTATCATAGAGCATGCAATAGTGAATGATTGTCTCTTAACAGCTTTGAAAGTCATATTTTTATATGCTTAAGTGCTTATTTAAAAAAATATAATGTCAGTAGCAGTAGCAGTGATAAATAATAAAACTGTTGCTGCAAATACGTGCAAGGACACAAGGATTCAGGCTTTGTTAGGGTTGTATAAAAACACTTGCTCCCGACAGACCTTTGATGCTTCACACCATCTTCAAGAGGCTTTCAGTCAGAGCTGGAGAGACGCAAAAGGAGGGAAGTCGAAATAAGGAATGTTCTGCAGTCAGTGAGAGAATAGATGGAAAGTGTGTGTGTGTGTAGGGGGTGCTTCCTCTTTCCCCCCCAAATGGCCATGCTCGGTTGAGCCACATAATGCATGCTCAACAGTAAGTCTGCAAAGGACCCGCATCCATAGATCATCGTGAAGTGGCATGTGACCTATAAAAAACCCTGCTGCCTGTTCCCTCCATGTTCACTGTGTCAGCAGAAAAAAACTAACAACAAAACAGCAGGATTGCAATAAATTCCCACACTGCTTTTTTTTTTTTTTGATTCATTGCTTGCATCCTCTGCCACTCTTCTCCTTTTCCCATCTTTCTCGTCACGGTTGTGTAAAAACGCCAGCCACCATTACTTCTCCTCAGTCGTTTTGAATCTGCACTGATCTCCTTTATTTCCCCTCACAATATGCTCTAGGAGCACGGAGCGAGGCCCCTCCCTCCAAAGATGGTTGAGGAAATTACAAGGTCGCTTGCAAGTCACTGACGGGCTACGGCCATCCCTTCATCCCTTCTGCTAATGATCATTAATTACGTATCATTAGCTAACACGCCACGGGCTATTCTTCCACATTTGTTATGTGCTATCGAATTCACTTTCTGAATTCTCTCCAATTAATTAGATTATTCTACTTGGCGGCTGATTTTTCTTTGAGTCTTTTTCTTGAGCTCGTTCAGCGTCTCCTAGCGCATGTGCACATCCCTCCCTTGTTTCATCCTTCACTTGAAAGGCGCTCGTCCACTTTTACATTCTTTGTCTTCTTTTGCTCAGTTTTCAAGTTATTTGCTTGTTGTCCCTCTGTATTCTGTTCTGTGCCGTGCTTGACGGTCTTTGTTGGGCCGTGTGCTGGTCATCTCTGTCCCTCCTCTGTCTGATTGCAGAGCTTAATCAGTGACTGGCTGCTGCTGCTGCTGATGATGAGTCAGTCTAGGCCACATCCTCAGGAAGGGAAAGGCTAGCAGATTCATTAAGGACATTCAAACTGCCCCCCAACCCCTCCCTCTCCACTTCACCTCAGTCCATCCACATATCCGCCACTCCGCTTGCTGGCTGGCACGCTAATTAAATTTCTATACATGATACCACTTGCTAAAGGTCAGAATCCATCACAATATCATTATTCTGTGATTAAATAAGTGTCTCCTGCTTCCTTTGTCATACTTTTATACTGCTGCTGGGAGATCACTGACTGAATATACAAACTTAAATGCTATTCAGAGTTTGAAAGCATATTTATTTTCTCCACAGATTGGTATGAACTTGAGTTTGTCATTGCGTCTTTAGTTTGCATATCAGAAAACAAGCAAAACATTTGAGTTATTTTGACTCCGATAGTATTCGAGCATGTAAAACTGTATAAAATTGATCATTAGGTAGACTGAATTGCTTATTTTTAAGGTTTTTTATATAGAACTAAGAC